ACATATAACAGAATAAAAAAATACAAACAGAATAACAAACATGCAAGAAAAAAACCTTTACATATATAAAATTAGAATTGTTAAAATTATCTCAAGGCAGGTGAAAAATTTCCAATGGGTTTTTTATAAGTCAATTAGTAAAAAATGATTAGCTATTTCAATTTTGAATTTTCATAAATTAAGAAATATTTATAATGTCCTATAACATGTTCTAAAAAGTGAGATTTGAGGTGTTTAGCCACTGAATTCAAATTATACATGTAGTTTTCTACTTAACCCCTGTTCTTTCCTCGTATTTGTTATTCTAGCAAGGTAAGAAGACAAAGGGTTAAGCAGCTATTACTTTTATTCTGGAGGGAGGCTTGCCTCATATTAATTTTGCTATACTTTGTACCTTGGCATTTCTGGATAAAAGACAGGGACAATAATAGAAGAAAGAACTGCTAACCATTCTTCTTTAAAATCAGTGTTCATGTATGAAAAATAAATTTCCAGTTGGAATCTTCATATACTGGCCAAATCTCTAAGCACAGTATGATCTGTAGCATAGCATTTAGATGGACAATTAATATAAAGCCCTGGCTCCATCTACTCTTCCCCACCCCATCCTGTCTCATCTCAATGAGCTTCCCTCACCCCCTCACCAACCAAAAGCAGCGTATTATGCTCTGGTAACATTTTGTCTTAGTCCTTGCCAGTAAATATTGGCTCCTCTGTTTTTATAAATATCCTTACCTAATATAGATTTTAAAATGTAAATGTAAAGATAGATAATAATTCCTCCAAAGAAAAATTTCTACTGACTAAAGTCATCAAGCTTGAAATCCATACAGGGAATTACTCTCCATAGAGTAATATACTTTCCCTGTATAGTCTATACAGGGAAATACTCTCAGTACAGGCTATATAACTTGCAAAACCCAGTGCAAAGTGAAAATGTGATATACTTTAATCAAAAATTAAGAATTTTAAGACAGTGACAGCATAGCAATAAACCAATTGGTAGAAACCCTACTGAGTGCAATAAGGCAAGAAAAAGAAATTAAAGGCATAGAAATTGGAATGGAAGAAATAAAACTGTTCCTATTTGCAGATGACATGATTGTCTAAATAGAAAATCCCAAGGAATTCACACACACACACACACACACACACACACACACACACACACACACAAATCCAAACTACTAAGTAACCTTAGCAAAGACACAGGATACAAAGATACAAAGCCAATACACAAAGGTAATTGTAAATACTTGCAATGGACAATTGGAAACAAAATTTAAAACCAATGCTATGTGTAATAGCTCCCCCCAAAATGAAATAATTAAGTATCCATCTAACCAAATAGTAGCCCCTCTGTTATGCTGAAAACTACAAAACACTCATGGAATAAATCAAACGAGATCTAGATAAGTAAAGATACATGATGTATTGATGGATTGGAATATTCAACATAGTAAAGATGTCAGTTCTTTCCAAACTGATCTACAAATTTAATGCAATTCCAATAAAAATCTCAGCAGTATTTTTCTGTAGATCTAGACAACCTGTTTATAAATTTTACATAAATTGTATATAAAAGCAAAGATACTAGAATAGTACCTAGAATCTAGTATCTAGAATAGTATCATTGTTTTGATAAACAATGAAGTTGGAGGAATCACTACCTGATTTTAAGATTTATTGTAAAGCTTCAGACAGCAAGACAGTGGGATTGGTGAAGGGACAGACGGGTAGATCAATGAGGCAGAGTAGATAGTACAGATATTGACCAATAGATATATGGTCAACCGATTTTTGACAAAGGTGCAAAGACAATTCAAGGGAGAAAGGATAATCTTTTCAACAAATGGTGTTAGATCAATTAGATTCCATATGCCAAAAAAAAAAAAAAAAAAAGAGTCTGGACTTAAACCTCACACATTACACAAAAGTTGTCTCAAAATGGGTCATAGATCTAAATATTAAACATAAAACTATAAAATTTTTTGAAAATGTTAGAGAAAATCTTCATGACATAAGATTTCTCAGACATGACCAAAGGCACAATCCATTTAAAAAAAATCAATATATTTAATTTTACCAAAATTTTTCCTCTGCAAAGAAGCCATAAAATAAACATAATAACATGTGAATATGATATCATTTTGTAAAACAAGCAAAATGCATAAATATTTGCACAAAAGTTTTAAAAAGTGTGATGGTATCCTTGTGGTGCTGGTGGCCAAAAGGGTATAGAGTTACCTCTGACTCTATACCCTCCTGTTGTGGTTGAATTTTTATGGGCAACTCTTTCTTTCATATAAGGTTGAAAATCTCCCCACTGTGGGCAGTTTTCCAATGATGAGTCTCCTAGAAAAGCCCTGTAGAGGTGACCATTGACTCCTCAGATGCCTCCCCACTCTGGCACCCTAGGATTTTATCATTAGATCTGATGTGAGTATTGAAAAAACCCTGAGAAAATGTTTGCTAATTTTTATTTAATTTCAGAATCACTAAAATAAAATTCTCAAATCCCCAATGTCACCCCAGTGCCTCCTAATGGACTCAGACCTTGATGAATGCTGTTTATCATGTGTCATGAGTCATTTAATTTCCAAGTGACTAGTAGCCTCTTTCAAGTGTATTTCCTAAATAGCTTTAGGTGGGTCCTCTTCTTTTGCAGAGTGGATCAGACCACAGTCCACTTATTGGACCACAGTTCAGAAAGCAGTCTTCAGATGGAGTCTGATTTCCATCATCCTTAATTGGCATTAATTTTGCCTGTAACTACAGTAAGTCTCTGAATTAGTGGAGTACAAATCTAACTAATGCAACTAACTGACTGCAAATCAGGCACAGGTTCTCTCAATGAAATGTTAGCCCCAAGAGCAGTGGCAGGTTTGCCACATAGTTAACGAAACTTAAGCTCAAGGACCCTCACCTGTGCAGACCCTGCCAAGGGCCTGCTGGGGCCCTAGCAATGTGTCTACGTTTTTGTAGATTTGCAAAAGTAAGATATTTTGATCACAATCAACAAAAACAACTCTTTTCACTGTGACTTTCCTTCCATCACACTTGTCTGCCTGATAAGTGGCAATGGAGGGGCTGTGGACACTTTGGGGATTTGGTGAAGGGGGTAAAGATTTGAGGATAGGTTTCATTTGAGTTGAGTGGGATATGTTTTTGTGATTTGCAACAACTTGGTGTATAGTTAATTATTGTCAGCCGTACAAGGTGTAGGAATTTCTTTAGATAGACTCCTACAGCTTACCCTGCCAATTCACTTGCGGAGGTGTCACATGATATGAATGTGTCTGATGGGCTCTGCCCCTTGGGAGTATTGGGTGGTGGAGGGACAACAAGGCTTGAAATGTACAGAGTCAAAGGTGGTCTGTGGAAAACTCCCTCAAATCGTACAACCTATATATGAAATAAACTAGACAGGAGTTTTTCTGAATTTGACGACAACCCCTAAAAATGTAGACAGCATTATCAGTAATGAGTTGTAAAGCTGAAGGAAAATTTTCTACTCCACCAAAACTAAAAAAAGCAAATTGATTAAACATGCTAGAGGAAAGACAATTAGTTTTCTATTCTTCCTATAGAAAATGATATAATAAAATTATTGTTACATGAAGAGGCAATCAAAGAATATGCAGCCACAAAGCATCAGGGCAAAAGTATTACAGAGGTGTGCCAGGCAGTTGATTAAACGATTGCTATTTTCCTAGATTTTGTGATATTTATGGTGTTTGTCAGTTTTGAAGCTTTGCAATTTGTTGTGATTTTCTTTTTCTCATTCTAAATAAATATTCACTTTCAGATCTAATTTTGTGTTCTTTTTTTTAAAGAGGGCTGCTCAAATTGTGTAAATTTCAAGCCCCACAAAACCTGGATTATCCCTGGATAGGAGCTTTTAAATATTTAGAAATAAGACAAAACTTTTCCTTTTGGTTAAGAATTCTTAATAACACAGCCAAATGGGATTGTGGTTTACTTCATCTGGAATCTGACCTCTGCAATGGAGTCGGCAGCTCTGGGGCGTCAGCACTGAGAACAGTGAGAGGCACAGAGATTCATCAGCAATCACCCAGCGGGGAGGAAACCTGGGTGGAATCTGGCACCGTGTGTGCATTTCTGTTCCAGAAAAGAAATATTCCACAAAGAAGGTCCAATGAAATGACCTGTTGGAGTTTTTATCTGATTTAAAACAAGAAAGACTTTTCAGAGAAGAGTGTGATAGAGTATATTTGGGATATCCAGGTTCAATTCACCTGTATTTGGTTTTCCCACTCTAAAGGAGAAGAGAAAGTAGACACAGTGAATAATGATGACAGCACTCTCCTCTCTTACTGTCCCTTCCTGTTGTCTGTCAGTGACTGAGTACTGGGCCAGATTGATGGATGCTATGGGAGATACTGTGGACAATGGAGCCAGCAACCTGGACATAATCTTATAACAATTTCTCTCCCTCACAAGAGCAGATGGCATTAATGCACCGGGATCATCACTTGTAAGCAAGTTGTGCCAATATCACCGGCCCTTGCCTGTACAGAAGGAGTTTCCATGCATATATCACTGCTTAACCCATTTATTAGTAATCTTTCTTGCTTGATCTTTTTGGTGTATATGCCCCCATTAAAAGATTAATTTGTCCTTTTATAGCTCAAATAAAACGAAGGAATATTATAATTACATTTCACCATGGGCCCACAATTTGGCTCCAAGGGCAGTAATAAAAAATGGTCAGAACACTTCCTCTGTTTGCTGGCCTGGCCACCCAGGGGTCCCCACAGTAAGGGGTCACAGGTTGTAAGTCATCAAAAAGAAGAAAAGTCAAGGTTTGGCGGCTTTTCTTGACGTGCATTCCCTTCTATTCCAATAGAGATCCTAAAGCAACAGGCTGATCCTTGCTGGTCCCCCACCGTGGGACCCGGTGCTTGGTTGGGCCTATGAAAGTACACCCACTACCCCTGCCCCCCGCCCCCCAGCCCCCTGCTCTCATCTTACTCCACCTTTTTCCATGTCACTCTTGATCTGCTCCTCGAGATCCTCTGGGGACACGTAGAAGTCCTCCTCTGGCACCGATGACTTGGGCCGGCAGCGTCCACAGCAGCAGTTGCAGCAGCAGCACAGACAGCAGCAAAAATAGCAGCCCGTCAAGAGGCCGATGATGACAAACAGGGTCTAGGGGAAACAGAGGCAGGGCAAAATGGGGGGGTGAGGGGTGGCGTCGCAAGGGAAGAACCCCAGAAATCAAGTCTGCACCCTTTTAGCCCCAGGGACCTGAAGACATGACAGTTCACCCCACAGACCACATACTGAATTAATGCATGCATAAAGCAATAAATAAATGAGTAGCTTCATCTAGTGAACAGCCCCACAAACATAAAAGGTTTGCTCACTAAGTTTGGCGTAGCTAAAGATTAAAAGAAACTCTCGACGTCCCCAAATTTGAAATTGTGAGAAGTCCAGTTTTGTGAATTGAGCAAAATCAAAGTATGATTTTATTAAAAATATATTATTTGAAATAGAAAGTGGCTTACACACCATTCATTGGAATGCACCTGTTAGCCAATTAAGGAGGCATGAGGGACAACGATCACCTGTGTGCCTCTGCACTTCTTCAGTAACCTGAGGTCAAGACCCTAATCTAACGACCCTTACCTGGGTCCTGCCTGAGCCTCCAGCTGCCTGGGTCTGGCCCCAGGTGTGGGGTGGAGCTTCTGAGGGCTTGGGGAGCTTCAGGCACACACTTGCATGCAGGATCTCTTTGCTAAGGAAACTATATTTTCATTGCCTTAGGTGAATTACTCTGAAAACAACTGCAACACCCTCCTCCCTCACAGACTGCCTGCAAGGCTCTCCTGTGCTGTGTTCTTGAGCCATTGCCCCAAGAAGCTCCTCCCTTCTTTAGCTACTTTTGCCCTTTTTGTTTTTACTGTGCAATTCCCACATTATTCTCGTCTCTGAAAGTTTTCTTTCCATTCATATACTGTTTTGTTCTTTCATTATTCCAACTAGATTGTTTGCCTTTTATGGGAAATAACCTTGCCTATCCCTTCCAATGTTCAGCACAGTACTAGGTACAAGTAGATGTCCAATAATTTTTTAAATACTTATCTTTGATGCCATGTTGATTCATTCAAGTAGTGTGTACATGATTGCGGTGTGCAAGGCCACTCTGATGGGCACCATGCAATTGGGTTTTGGTACAAGTAGAAGGGAAAGGTGTATTTTCTATGGCCTTATTTTTTAAAGAGCCACATCAGGAATTATTTTGTATATCTCTCATAGTAGTGGGAAGACTCTGCTTGTCTGTATGAATTTTGATCAATTTTGTCAACCTACTGGGGAAAGAACTGTATTCTCATTTTTACACAGGCTGGCCCCTATACGCACTCAGGTGCCCATGGGTAATTATCTGGAACTGTAGAAGATGTATCTTCCCAAGGAAGAGAATCATGCCTAGAGCTGAGATTCCCGTGCAAGCCCACGGAAGCCCATATTGTCATGTGAACCTTCACCTATTGTCATAAATGACACTATCAGTATGTACACTCTTATTCCAAGTTCCAAATCTGCTCAACAGGAACTTGTCTCCCTCCCAAATCTTCAGCAACAATGGAGAAAAGGGTTTCAATGGGAATTCCAGGTAACCCCAAGAAAAAGAACCCTGGGGGCTGCAGTAGGCACTCGAAGCTTTAGGTTACAGACTCAGCATGCATATGCACAAAACACATTCTCTCTAGTGGAAAAAAGTAGCAATCAGAATGCTACTGAGCATGAAACCTGCCTCCTTTGGAGATTTGGGTTTTTATTACTATAGTAATTATTATTATTATTATTATTAATTGCAACTCATATGAATATGGAGTGGACTGTCCATAAAATATGCTGATGGACTAGATGTATGGCCCATGTATAAATATACTTTTATCAGGAGATAAGGATATTAGAATTCATAAACACATAAGAACCATCACCAAACATACATATATTAGAGATTCCTAGGAAACCAAACAAAATTTACTATACAAAAGCTAATCTTGATTGCACTGAGTCCTTAAAAATGTTGCCTTTTTCTTAACCAGATATCCATTTCAGTCTGTCTCCCTCCCCCCTGCCTCTCCAACTCCCTGTCCTTCACTACTTAATTCTCACCTTTCCCCCTCATTTCCTTCTCCACGACCTCACAGCAGGCTCCATGTGAGCCTCTGACATAATTACCACTCATTCTCCCCAGTATTGTGTTTGCTGATGTAGCCTAAGCTATAGATAGTAGAGTACATGGCTAAATTTGTCCTATAATAATTTATTAAGCAGTTGTCACACTAATAAATTATTTTTGGTTTTGAGCAATGAGTCAGTTCTTAATTAGTCATTACAGGGGATGAGGGGGCAGTCAGAATTAACCTGAAGCTCCAATTTCAAATATAATTAATGTCTAGAAGTATTTTAAGTCATGCAGTATTTTATAATTATTTGATGAGCTAAACCAAAAATGATCCTCACATAACAGCTTTCAGTGGAAGTGATATCTCTGTTATTTATAAGAGCTTAATAGTAGTAAGGTTAGACTTTCTCTGAAGTGGAGTCTTAAAGACTGAATAAGATCATGGTCTTCCAGGAAATTGTTTTTGAGAAAAAAAAAAAATCTGAATCACCTTTGCCCACCAGCTTGACAGCATGAAGTAGGTGTTAACGTTTTCGTCCCCAAATTGCTCGGCCACGTAGAGTCCCAGAGATCCGTACTTGTCATATATGTTTCTCTTGGAGACATCCGTGAGTATGGTGTGGGCGTTGTTGATTTCTTTAAACTTTTCGGCAGCGGCTGGATCATCTGGATTCTTATCTGGATGATGTTTCAGGGCCAATTTTCTTTTAAAGTAAAAGAAAAAAAAGGGAGGAAAAGGGTAATTGGCAAAAAATAAGGAAGAAAATTTAAAAAGGCAACAATCAATTGGAAAACCCTTAATCAAGCAAAAAACAGGAAAGTAAGTTCAAAACTAAGGGGAATTTAATAAAAAAAAAAGGTTTCCTTCAAAGGGAACCCCTGGTTCCAAAAAAGCAAGGAAAAAGGGCCTAAAACCGGCCCCAAAGCCCAAAAAAAAACTCAAAAGAGCTGTGAGACACAAAGAGGGGGAGAACAGAGGGGGCCCCGCACACCACACCCACACCCACACACGCTCACACAGACGCACAGGAGAGACCCACCCGCACAGAGACACACAGAACACAACACCCAAAACTCTCAGAAAAAAGGGGCCACAGGGACACCTAAAAAACAAGAGAGAGCCCAAAACCCACACAATAAAAAAAAACACACACAACAAAAAAAACCCCTTTTTCTCTCTCTTTTTTTTGCCGTGACAATGGGTCCGACCATTATCTGTGGCGTGTGTATCTCGCTTTGCAAACCTGGTATCCTGCTCTTATTCTGTAATCCTGTCTTTCTCTCCTCAATAAACCTCACTCTCTTGCTTGCCTTACTTTGGTGCATCTGGTCATTCTTTGTCCATGAGTGCTCCAAGGACCGACATTTCAGACTGCGGCCCAACAGCTGCATTGTTGTTGAGCCGGAGACACTTTGCTGTTGGCAGCAAATGTGAAACTTCTCTTTACCTGGAAGCTGATCGCTAGCCCACCCCAACATGCAGAGGCCTTTAAGAGTTCCAGCAACAGGACCAGTTTACACCAAAATACCATTTAGAACTGGAAGAACTTTCCGGAATTAACAGAACTTCACAGCACATATTCTAAAAGTTCAACTCAGCTATCAAAAAAAAAAAAATATATATATATATATCTAATTTATCCTCTCATAAACAACATTATGACCCCTTCATCCCTTCATTAGTCTTCCACAAGTCCTAACTCCCTTTTGTTTTTCTGAGCAAATATTGTGACTTCCCTTGTATTCAAATGCATATTTGGCCTCTTTCCAAATAGGTCTTTCCACTTCACATAATCTGTAGAAGTTTACTTGTGAGTAAAAGGCTGTCTGTCCTCTGGGGATCAGAAAGCAGTTCCTGAAGGATATGGCTGTCTGCTCTGCGTGTGGGGAGGTGAGGGTGGGATTTGGGGGCGTCCTTTATTCTTCAGTTATGCTCCAGTATAAAAGGCAACCTAGAAGATGCAAGTGAGAGCTCAGCTGCGAGCGTCAGTCTCTTGTCTGGGGCCATGACCCTCATTTCCCCTGCTGACAGATTTAAATAATGATTAAAGCTATGTTCAAAATTGAGCCTGTGCTATTTTTGCCACTAAAAAGTCAATTAATTTTATGTCTCTCTACTGGAAATTCCATATGACTCATTCTCCCTACTGTGCCTCTCCTGGGGTATAGGTGGGAATACACAGTGAGCTTTTGTTTATTGTATGGGTTTGGATCAATTAAAGTTGTTTCATTTTAATACAGTAATAAAAATCCAGAAACAGGGAAGCAAAGTAAAGTATACCTTACAAATCAATCAACATGAGAAATTGAACAAATCATGCCCATTTTAGGAATTGAAGTCATTAGGGAGTAGATGAATATTTCAGCAGCTCAGCAATAGGATGCTTAAAAAGTACCAAAATATTTAGAAACACAAATCATAATCCATTCTAACCCCAAACTCAGAATAAATTTAAAAACATAAAAACAATGATAGTCCATTTAAAATCTATTCAACCAGAACATTTCTCATCCTTTTTGAAAGATGTTTGGAGCATTTATAAATTCTTATACACAGGACCATTTGGCAACATGTGTTTTACGTGCAGAATTTCTGATGAACTCTGTTGCTAATAGCATTAATACCCATCTTTTCATTTAAAAAATTTTTATGTTTACTATATGCCAGTACAATTGTAAGCATGTTATGAAAATTAATTCATAAATCCTCACAATAACCCTGTGAGATAGATATAATTGTCACATTTTACAGATGAGGAAATGTAGACACTGAAAAGTTAAGTAACTTGCCTAACAAACATCACGCAGCTAATAATTAAAGCCAGGCTTTGAACACAAGCAAGCAAGCCTTGACCACGGACTCTTAACCACTATGCTGCCTCCTGTATTTATATTTTTACATGTAAAAAGTAAGGCACACAGAATATTTAGTAGGCCATTGTAAAGATGTTGGCTTTAGTCTGGGTGATGTGGAAAGCCATCAGACTGTTTTGAGAAGAGTGACAGGAGAATCACTCAGTCTTGGAGGGACGAAGGCAAGGCAGGGGAGACTCTTGTGGGAGACTCTTGTAGTGATCCAGGCACATAGTTCATGGGTGTTTGGACCAGTGCGGTAGTGGAGGATATAGTGAGAAGTGGTTGGATTCTGGATATATTTCGAGGACTAGCTGATGGATTGGATGTGGGGTGGGAGAGAAAAAGAAGAATTAGGAGGCACCAGAGTTTTGGCCTAAGCAATTGGAAGTTTGGAGTACTATGTAATGAGATGGCATGAAATTGTTTTTGGCAGTGGGGAGTGGTTTGCTAGGATTCGGGAGCTCCATTTTGGACACCTTTGAGATGCCTATTAGATCCTTACAAGTGAAGATAGAGGCAGAGGGAAATGAGTCTGGAGTTCAGGCAAGAGTTACTGCAGGAAATGTACATTTGGGAGTTCTCAGCAGGCAGATGATATTTAGAACCATGGAACCGGAAGAGAGGGTCTAAGAAGTATAAGGACTGAGCTTTGGGAAGGGATAACCAGAAGAGGAGGCTAAGAAAGAAAGGCTGATGATGCAGAAGGAGAAACCAGGGAGTGTGGGGTCTTAGGATCTGAATGAAGAAAGTATTTTAAGGAAGAGTGTGATCATCTCTGTCAAATGCTACTAGCCGGTCATGTAAGATGAGGACTAAGAATTGACCACTGGATGTAGTGATATGAAAATCCTTGGTGACCTTCACACACATACACACACACACATGCACACATATGCACACACATGCACACAGACAATTGCATATATGTCTTTACACAGAAAAATAAGCAGAAAAGAAATAGAAAAATGGAAGATTATAACCAAAATTAACAGTGCTTTTAGCTGCACATTGGCATTACATATTTAGTTTTAGGTTTTTTGTTAAACTAAAACTTGATTTTAGTTAACTAAATTTATTTAGTTAAACTAAAAATTTAGTTTTTTGTCAAACTTCGTTCTAGCTTTGTTTGTGATAAAAACCTATACATAGTGTTCATGTGGTGTTTTCCTCTAAGCATTTTAAAGCTATCATCACAAATTTTATTCTCTTTGGATAGCTGAAAGTTTAGAATTTGTTCCCTTAGATGACCCATTACCAAATTAAGGGGGAGGTAAAAAAAGAAAAAAGAAAAGGGAGAAAGAAACGTCCCCAAACTGTAACAATGCAACAATCATCATGAAAAAGCCTCCAGTGGACATTACTTTTAACGGCATACTATTCCTGGAATTCTCACTCTGGGCCTTGGACTAGAAGTGGCATGGCATTTCCCCCGTTGGTTTCAAAGATATCGCGTCTGGCCCTATCAAGTGAAAGTGCCATTACTTCTGCCTTAAATGCAAGAAATCCCTGGAAGACGCCTCTTTACATACATTTTCTTGTTTCTGGGGTTCAGTTGTAGACCGACGCACACTACCCAAGACTTCACCAGAGAAGCCTGGCTTCGTGCCCTTTTTAAAGCTGCTTGGATCTCTGTCAGCTCACAAGGGCAGAAGTACCCCATCCATTCATCATACTCCCAACAACGGACTTGGCAAATTCAGAGGGCTGGAACACCTCTATTTGTAACAAATCCAATTCTCGGTCGTCAGCAGCATTTTGACTCCTCTTGGCAGATACTCTTGGCTCTGAGGAATCCTTGGGAAATATGGTGAGCAGAGGCAGCTGCCAAAATTACATAGCCATTCAAGGAGCTAGTAGTGCAATGCCCCACCCACCTGCAAATTGTCCTTAGAGCAAGGAAGCACCTGTGGAATTTAGGGGTTTAAGGAAGTACTTGGAGTGCATTTACATGGAATAGTCATCTATTCATTTTAAAGGTATTCCTTGTCATTTCTAATTTTATACTTAAAGTGACATAATATCCAGCCAGAATGTGAGCCTTTAATTCTGAATCTCTCTATACTCTTAGTTATCGTTAATGTGGTATGGTTATAATTAATATTAGAAATAGCATTCAATGCCTCTAACTTCCACTTCAAAATCTAACGAAAGCTGTCAACTAAAATGCATGGTGAGTTCAATGAGTGGCAGATACAATAGATAAGCACAGAGTTTATAGTTGTCATTATCAAAGGTCTACCTATCGAAGGTTTACCAATATCTACCTATTCTGAGGCAATGGAATAATTCTAAGAATTGTAATGTTTTGCCTCATCTCTTCTTCACCCCATTTAACACTTTCATGAGTTAGCAGCAGGTAGTTAGTTAGCAGGTAGACAAGATCTACCTGCTACTCTCTACCAGTCTCTGCATCACCTCCACCTCGATTCTGACCGGGTTTTCCCAGCTTTTGAGACATCTTACTGTTTGTCAATCTGGTGGTTTGTATAATATATATGTGTAACACAATATGGTTTAGATAAGGCTGATACATGTCATTTGGATATCCTCTATTTAAGTGCATTTTAGTCTTCTACAAATTTTTTGTTTGGTTTTTAAAATTAATTTGTGGTATTAAAAAATACATATTCTAGGCTGGGCGTGGTGGATCACGCCTATAATCCTAGCACTCTGCGAGGCCGAGGCGGGTGGATTGCTCAAGATCAGGAGTTCGAAACCAGCCTGAGCAAGAGCTAGACTCCGTCTCTACTATAAATAGAAAGAAATTAATTGGCCAACTAATATATATAGAAAAAATTAGCTGGGCATGGTGGCGCATGCCTGTAGTCCCAGCTACTCGGGAGGCTGA